GCAATACACACTGTTGTACACCTACTTCATTCAAAAAGATATTTTAAAAAGAATGAAAACCAAAAAGGAAATTCAGTCTACCTATAATAAATTGATCTTTATTGATACATTATAATCCTGCAAGTAATCCCTGTTTTGAAAACATGTAACAGTAATCTGATTATTTAATGTAACTGTAAGGGAATACAGTTACTTTTTTTTGTATCCTGACGAAGTAATCTTGGTCAATGTAATCCGTTACTCCCTAAACCTGTGTACCGTACAGGGCTTAATCTGTTTAACCAACAGAGGAGATGTGATGATTGTGACGACAGAGAAGTCATTGTTACGGTTCACAAATCTGTTGCACTATAGTGTCAACAAACAGGAGGACAGCCCCCCCCTCCCCCCAGCCTGCCCTTCACCTTTCTACTCAACTATTACTACAAACACGCTGCAGCATGTCACTACACAGAGGTGGAAGAACTACTCGTATCGTTAATGTCAAAACAACCCGTATGAATACATGGAATTAGATTAGCCGTACAGTGACAAGTGAGGCGTCATCTACATGTTTTTGCATCATTTGGCTACAACAATGTATCCGACTGATTAAAAATACAACACCATGGCAAACTTCTGGACGTATTCAAGTACCAATTAATTGGCCAAATGATTGGGACTACGACATAAATTGGTGTATAACTTCTACGTATGATGGATCCACATCATATTTTGCAGTTCTGGTAAGCATTGCGTGTTGTATGTAGGCTTGTCAAAGCTGTATGCGCTTGATCGGTCTTTGAATAAATGAGATGTTGTACTATATAAATCCAACGACAGAAGAGTTTGAGACGTTGTAGAACATCAGCCACCCTACTCTAGTATAATAGGTTGCAAACTAAAGCCACAGTCTGTTCACCCCACTGATCTCCACCATGAATACCTGACATAGCATACCCATTGCACATGGGTGGCTATGCTTCCTTCTTGCCCCCCCCCCCCATGTATTCACACTATAAACCAAAGTCTCTCTAGGTATAGGCCTATCTGTAAAAGTATTATTTTGTTCAGTCATATTTTATTCAGTCATATTTTATTCTTCTTCTCGTTTTTTTTGTCAACCCTGGTGTAACATGACAAATATAAGAACCTTTCTTTACTCAAGACTGATCACATCATGAGGAGCTAAGCTATGTAACAAACCAACTTCCTTTGTGTTTCATTTTGTGTTCAGGGAATACTTAATCCTGTGAGCTGTTTATCTCAATAATGTGTGATGCAAACATTCCCTGTGACCGTGTGCAGGAGTCACCTTGCCCCTCTTCCTGTCTTCCGCTTTCCTCCTCTCCGTCCAGCCCCCTCCTTCCTCTTTCTGTGTACATGTCGACATTCACAGCACTACACCTGCAGAGTCTGCTGAAAATCATTCTGTGCGCTTCACGGGCAGCTGAGGTCACACTGACCTCTGGAGGATTGAGACCGGGGACATCACTCATGTTCCCACAACCGCTTCTTACGGTGTGATGCAGCCTTACTCTGCAGGGCTGTCTCACATGAGGAGCTGCAGTAGCTCCGCCCCCAGTAGATCACCTGAGCCGTAAACCAGGAAATAAGGACTGCGGCAAGTGCAGTGTCCTTCCAGGGCTCACCTTCAACTTTAGACCGTCTCAGCCTCACATACATTCTTTGCATACCATAAATTAGCTTCAGGGTGTTATGACAATGGGTTCAGTGGCCACATGTTATCTGTATTATCTGCTTATCTGGAAGTAAATACACAGCTACAACCCAGTTAGACACTATTCGGAGCAGAGGTGTGCTGGGGGGCCTGAAGTGTGAGAAGTCAGAACATGAACTGGAGTTCAAGATCCTGAAATACACACACACACACACACACACACACACACACACACACACACACACACACACACACACACACACACACACACACACACACACACACACACACACACACACACACACACCACACACACACACACACACACACACACACACACACACACACACACACACACACACACACACACACACACACACACACAGAGTCTCAGACTGCGTTGTGTCCTCCAGATGTCACCATTGACGGAAAAGTACCCTCACACCCAGTGGAGCCCACTCTCCTGGGGGAGAGAGAGGGATTAAGCGATTAGCTCGTCCTCACTTTCATTTGCTCTCTTCTCCTCTGTTCTTACTGCTGTTCTCTGAAAAGTGCTGACAGGGACATTCTTACAGCTCCTGCTGCACGTGCGGACAACAAGTCCACTGCTTTCTGTCCTACATTCAGGCATGCTGCGTGATGATGAGCTCATTACACATTTAACATGTTCATTCAGTCCTTTCCTATCAACAAAAATAGCCCCTACCACCTAAACCACCGATGTTGTTCCATCATTCTTTCAACCTGTACACACATCTCTCTAAGAAACATGTGACTGTTATCAAAGAGAGATTCAGTGTTGTATCTGATAATGTCTCCTGGCTCTTGTGAGACACATTTTCTTTTCCTGTGTAGAATGTGACCTCTCAAGGTCCACTTACAAGTATTTCCGTTCAAACCCCATTTATCAGCAAATAAAAATTGGCCAATGAAATCAAATTGTATGTAATTGATGGTTGCAGGAATATTGTTAATACCCCCTTCATTTAGATTACGTCAGCTTATTCTGTGTAGTTTGTAAACTTTTATCACATCAGTGTTTTTTGTATGACGCACAATCCTAAATGAATGTGTTCTGCCACATTTCCACATTCATCCATGACGTCTTCTTTCCTTTTGTAGTGTTTGCTTTACTACGTTACTGTACATATTGTATAATCACTATGCAGTAGTGGATGCTATTTCAGGTGTGATTTATTGGAGTGAGCATGACCTTCCCTCTGACTCGATGGATGATGTGTGTGTGTGAGAGAGAGAGAGAGAGAGAGAGAGAGAGAGAGAGAGAGAGAGAGAGAGAGAGAGAGAGAGTGTGTTGTGGGCACGTGCTGCATGTCTGCCTCCTAGTGAGTGCACACTGCACTGCATGTTTCAAGGGAACAGAATAAACTGCTTACTGAAGTAGGTCTTATATTTGCAAAGGTTTCATTATTTGAAGTCATTTAATACTTTTTCATGCTGATGTAGAACCAAAATACTTTTTCAGATGATGTCCCTTCAAGGCACTGTATGTTTTTCCATTTGATTTGCTAAAGATACAGTTGGCTACCGATTTAACTGTGTCTGTCCTCACACTCACAGCTAAATTAGGCCCTCTTAAAGGTCCTCTTATCCTCTTTTCCAACAATATATTACAGGTCTCATATATATATACAGAACATGTCTCTGAAATGTTTTGCTGAAACCCTATCTGTTTTTAAGAGTGCGCTTAAGACCTTCCTTTTTGATAAAGCTTAATTAGGGCTGATTAGATTCAGCCCCTAGTTTAGCTGCTATAGGCTTAGCCTGTCGGGGGACACCTTCTTCCTTCTGTCTGTCTGTACCTGTGTACTCTCATGTTCCCAATAACCCAGCTTCCCCAAATTTCTTTTTGGTGTCTATCTACGCTGGGATCCTGAGTCGTGGCTGATCCTGAGTCCTGAGTCCTGAGTCCTGATCTGAGTCCTGGACTTCGAGTCGTGGCTGAACCTGTCTCTGTGGTCCTGCCTGACTTTCATCATACTACTTCCCTGACGGCTCCCACAGGATTGTTGACATCCTCGTGGATTCATCTTCTTATTATAGACACATGCATTTCCAAACATTTGGACTACCTATGTTGTAAATGTATTATCTTTTCGATTTACACACGGTATCTATTGCACGTCTGTCCGTCCTGGGAGAGGGATCCCTCCTCTGTTGCTCTCCCTGAGGTTTCTCCCATGTTTCCCTTTAAACTGTGGGGTTTTTCCTTTTTTGGAAGTTTTTCCTTGTACGATGTGAGGGTCTAAGGACAGAGGGTATCATATTGTCATACTGATATTCTAACTGTGAAGTCCACTGAGACAAATGTAACATTTGTGATATTGGGCTATATAAATAAAAATTGATTGATTGATTGATTGAAACACCAAACAGATCATTAGCATCCCATAAAGCCCTGTTCCAAAAGTGCTGATTCTGTGTCTGTGACTTTAAATGCTAATGAGCTGCAGCTGGCCACGCCCCTCTGAGAGATATTTGGTTGAAAATAACACAATGGTGCTCTAGGAGGAGATTCAGGTGATAAGGTGGGTGGGTGTTACCTTGGTTGGTTATTGGCTAATGGTTGCACAACCCAAAACACATGAGAGATGAGAACAAGAGAAGTCAACAGCAGTAAGAAAGAGGAGGACATCATTTCCAAAATGAGATTTGGTCTCAAAGGACTAAATAGCACATTATTCATTATGAAAAAAACATACATTAGGTGTAGTATATAGTGCCGCCGCGCACATATACTATCAGGTATATGTGAATATTGTGCCAATGACAAAACAGACAAAATACCAGCAAGAACGTGTATTACTAAAGGAATCACCGAACAGAAACCAAACAGATTTAAATGTAATAGAGATATTGCGAAGGAGTTCAGGGGATGTAGCATACAGGGCAGTATTTAGGTTTTTAAAAAGGACCACTTAACCAATAAAAAAACACTCGCGGACCACCTAATTCCACAAATATCCAAAACACATCGTTTTTTACAAATCGCCTGGAAATGGTACAAATAAGTGGCCACATGTGTGATGAAGGTGTGTATCTGGGCTATATCATGCAATTAAAAGTGAAACTTAAGCTCGCTCCATTGCGGAGATATTCCCATGAGAGTGCGGAAAACTTTTATTTATTTATTTATTTCAAATGTGAAATTTTACCAATATACTCACGGACCACTAGGGGGCGCTCACGGACCACCAGTGGTCCGCGGACCACACTTTGAGAAGCACTGAATTAGGGGAACAGCATACAGTGTTTGATCCACACTCCATTCCAGAAGGTGGCGGTAAAGGCACCTACAAGCTGCCAACTGCCGTCAAACAACAGTAGAAGAAGGAGTAGTAGAAGAAGAAGAAGAAGAACAACAACAGCAGCAGCAGCAGCTACATGCCTCACCAACACTTTTGAGCTTGAGAGTCAAATAAATGTGCCAATAATATATATTTAATCTCGCAGCTATGGACATAGCGGTGTACCTGATTGCTGCTGCTATCCTCATTGTGCTGATAGTGTTTGCGCTGAAGGTGCGAGGGAGCACACAGGAAGGTAAGAGACCTCCATGTTAGCTAAACACACCGGAAAGTGTCTGCTGCTAAACTAAGTGTTGCGTTTACCTTTTCATTAAACACTGCTATTCAAAATGTAATAGAGAGGAAACAGTAAGCCAAACTTCCCGCTGTAGTTACATTTACTTTGGCAACGTCAGCTCACAGCTGTCACTCCGCCATTAAGTACGGAGAAGGCGCAGAGGGCCAACTGAAGCTGCCTTATATTCTCCTTATCTGTCCCTGAATAAGAAATAAATACTACAGTGTAATATTTAGTTACAAACAAAAGTCCTGCATACAAAATCCTACTTAAGTAATAGTGCAAAAAAAAAAAAAAAAAAGTACCAAAAAAAAAAGTACGTATTGTGCATAACGTCCCATTTCAGAATTATTGAATTACATTGGATGATAATTAATCATGCTAATTTAATTACTTTGTATACTGCTGCTGGATATCTTAACTTATCATTTGATATCATAGTGTTTTTTTTAGTATGTATTATCTTTACAATATTGGCTGCCAAATGTAGTTGAGTAGAAGTACAGAGTAGCATAAAATGGAAGTATAAGTGCTCCAAAATCGTCCCTAAGTACAGTACTTGAGTAGATGTACTTTCAATGCCTGTGTGCCTGATCTCAGGGTATTGAATAATGTTCTGTTCTACCTTTTCATCTCTTTAAAATGTTCAATCTTCACAGTGTTAACATGCCTGATGCAAGGCAGTGCTTTGACTGTTGTGTGCCCTCTCTGTTGTCAGCTGATGAGGAACAGCAGAGGGATGTGGTCCGGGCAGCGGGGCCCCGTCAGCGGGCCCCCGAGGAGCGAGGGGCCGGTATGCCTCGCAGAAGGAGGAACCTCGCCGCGTCGATGGCCAACAGACGACCACAGAGAGAAGATGTAGAAAATGGTAAACTAATCAGTATTGTAGTAATGCTAATGAGAAAACAACTATTATTGTTTCAATATGAGCTTCTTCTCAGCTTGTTTTGGAGTTCGTCATATTGGACTGACTCATTCTTCATTCAAATCATTTCTCATGCTTATTTACCACACTGAAAATATACACTTTGTTTATGATCAGAATTAATTAGTTTGCCCCAAAACTTTTCTGAAACAAAATAGACACCAGGGTTGTGGTTTACCAGTTTAACAATGTCAATCTTTTCAAACAATGACCCTTTAAAGGTTGCGTTTTGAAAATGGAGAGGCTTATAATATAATATGTATTACTATGTTTTCTTTACTGGAGCTAAAAATGGTTGTATTTTTGTTTGCTTACATTGAGGGGACTTGATAGATTGCATGTAAAGTGGGAGTCAAACAAACATGTAACAAGACTGCTTTTGATTCCAGAGGAGGAACTTGTGGAGGAAGAAGAGGAAGAAGAGCAGCAGAACCTTGGGTCCACCGCCAAAGTTGGAGCCAAGAAGCAGAAGAAGCTGGAGGAGAAGCAGGCCAAGAAGGCCCAGAGAGAGGTGGGGGCTCAAACGAAAAAGACTAAAGCTACAAGTTGACTATAAAACGATCCAAATGATGTTCAAAGCCGCAAATCAACAATTGTCCAGGGACTTTTCACACAGAGAGAAAACATACACATGTCGAGAGGAAACTGCATTTTCAAAAAACCACCCATACGGACAAATTCCAGACTTCATTGCATCTCAACAGAAGGTGGAATAACTGTAATGATGAGCTGAAATACTGTGCAACCTAAACTAAAACTCTCATTTAAAGACCAAATCCTCAATGGTTCTGAGCAGGACCTGTGAACTCATGCTTGCTATTTCCTGTCGTTGTAAGGGTTATTTGTTTTTGGTTGTTTTGTAGAAAGAAATGTGTTGTTTATAACGGATGATATTTTCATGAACAAGGTACGCTAGAGGGGGACCAGAAAGGTTTTTAAGCTTCGTCTTCCCCCTTTTCAACATGACGGAAACTATTTGAGAATTTATTTTTGTACACCTTGGACATTTTTTTCTTTTGCTTCTCTTTGTCATAAGTATTATTATTGTAATATGTACAGTAGAAATGAAGACATCTACAAATGTGTGTTTGCTGTGCAGCATTGTCATCTTGTGTTCCTGTCTTCAGATGGAGCTGGAAGAGAGGGAGGAGAGGAAGAAGATGCAGGATCTCAGAGAGCAGGAGAGGCGTCAGGAGGACGAGAAAGAGCGCCAGATGGAGCACAAACAGGTCCACTAGCAGTCCTCTTCCCAGCCCCCCCATCCTGTGTGTGAATACGAGCAGATCATGACACCCTGTGCTGCTGTTTGTTTAGGAGGAAGAGGAGCAGCGGGCTAAAGAGGAGCAGGACAAACGGGAGGAGGAGGAGTACTTAAAGCTCAAAGCCTCCTTCACCGTGGAGGAGCAGGGGGAGGAGGAGCAGCTCTCTGAAGACCAGGTGAGACACTGCTGAGCTCTCATCCTTCTCACGTTCTGGTTCTCTGTTCTAAACAAGTCTCCATGTTCTTTACTAGTCTCGAAATCTGCTGCAAGAATTCATCCAGCACATCGAGGTGAGAGCTGCAGACCTTTTCCCAAAACAGCTGGTAGTGTCCAGTGGTTAAAGGGTTAACAGTGTGTCCCCCTCCCGCAGAGCTCCAAGGTGGTTCTCCTGGAGGACCTGGCCTCTCATTTTGGGATGAGGACGCAGGACGCCATCTGCAGACTGCAGGACCTGCTGGCTCAGGGCTCCCTGACAGGTCAGTCTGAAGCTGCACGGTAACCATAGAGACGGGAGCTTTTTATTAGGGCAATCACATACAAATATTCTGGAAAACTCATTGATTGCTTTTTTTCTACATTACACCCATATTACCGCCATCTTACATCGTGGTGATTTTTTTTCTTACACCCTCATTGACATACATGCACACACACACAACGTTAAGGCATTTCCCCCCAAATTTGAGTCATTTTTAGCAGCGTTTCTTTCTGCTTTCCTGACATTTGATCAACCCTTAAATTGGCATTCACATAAACACTTGAGTTTAATACTTTAACAATGAATACACCCAATTACACCATTATATACCATTATCATCTACTTTCTTTAATGCTATTTTATTCCTATTTGAGATGTTTACATTTTGGATAGTTTATTTCTAGTCTTAATTTCTCTAATGTACAGTGCCTTGTCTTTTTATGCTGCTGCAACGCAACCATTTCCCAAATTGGGATCAATAAAGTACTTCTCATCTTATCACACCAATATGACTGTTATTAGACCCATTTTACACATGGACACAGCCTGTCAAATGACCATACCTCCCAGGATACACAAACCATTCAAGGGTTAATGGGTCAGCAGCATACAAAAATAGTTCAATGCTGCACCACACATTGAAGTGACCTTTGATCATACGGTCTCCTCTATAACATGACGTGTTTTTTTTTTTTCTGCAGGAGTGATAGATGACCGAGGGAAGTTCATCTCCATCACTCCAGACGAGCTGGACTCAGTGGCTCAGTTCATGAAAAAGAGAGGCAGAGTGTCCATCACAGAGCTCGCTCAGGCCAGCAACTCGCTCATCAACCTGACGCCTGAGAGCCGCAGCAGCGCCTGAGGGCCACAGCAGGGCCTCATAATGCTTCAGGAAATCTGGACCAGTCTTCATGAGGAGGCTGGAGAATACTCATCATATTAGACTGTTCCTCAGGTACAGGCTTTGTCATCTGTTTTACTGTGTGGTGACATCACTGCTCAGCAGCCTTAACACACCAGTACGTGTCAGTCTGCATATAGACTAGGACTGGTTTGAGCCACCCAAAAATGAACATACACACAATAAAGAAACCAATATAAACTGATACTGTTAGAGTTTCATTTGTCACATCTTTTCAGTTTGGTCTTGTTTACTGCGATATCATTTTTTTTAAGCTATCATTTTGTGCAAGATGGTAAATGTAGTTATCCAAGGGGCTCTCTGCCTCTCACCAAGTTCTTGTTGGCAGAGTAAAGCTTCATATTCTAAGAAAGAGCCAATGTTAGCACAATTGTTTCAATTAGGGATGTTGTCTTTGTTTTTCATTCAAATATATTTAGGCTTAGAGACAAAGAAGCTCAGTGTTCCTTCTGTGTTCCATACACATCATAATCTGTTTTATTAAAACAACTAATGAACATTCAATGTATTATCCTGCTCACATTGACAGATGCACCTTCTGAAGCACTGAATACAAAAAGTGACAGGCACATCAGGCATGTCACTGACAGTTCGTTTCTCTTATCAGGATGTACGGAAGAGGATTAGGGCCACATGAGAAAAAACTATTTTGGGGGTTGACCAAAAGTAAAAAAAACGATCCCAGAATTTTGAGAAATGTCCAAACCTTTTTTTTCTACTTTTGTTCACATCCCAATTTGATCCTAATTTCCCTCATGTCGCCCTTATCCTGTTCCGTTCGGATGGTCTGGTCTCTTTTTTTTATAAAGTCTTTCAGTTGAAGTAAGATTGAGTCCTCCAGCCTGAAGTAGCGAGTGAGTCTCTCAGATGGGGGTCTCCTGCTCCTCATCCTGGACACGCTCACTCCCCTCAGTTAGCTCCCATGTGGAGGTGAGTCCTCTATCCTGAAAAACAAGAACACATCAGCCCAGTCTCCATGACAAATAGTAAATACCGTGAGCCCGCCCACCCACCAACATACCTTAATGAGCACTCCCAGGGGGGCCAGGTCCTTCCTGAGAGTGTCACAACTTCTGAGGAGGGGCCCTCTCTCTGGGTAGAGTGCAGCTTTGTGGGGGGGTCCACTGGTGGGAGCATCCTGACGAGCGAGTGCGAACGCTCGGACTTCACTTCTGAAATGAGTCAGCTGTTCCACCACCCCCTCCAGCCTCCCACTGCTGGTCCCCACGTCTCCCTGCTGTAACACCATTTTAATAATTAAACGCACACTTTCTATTTGACTCAATCACACACACACTTTCCTGCAGCCAATCGGGAACCTCATGAAAAGAGAATGGATGTGCAAACGTCTAAATGTTCTGACCTTAGTGTGCAGCAGATCGACCCCGAACACATCCAAGATCTCTGTGATGTAGCTGATCATCGCTCCAAACACTGCAGGGCTCCGAGCCACGCCCTCACACTGAGAACACACACACGGTTACTTCAGTCTCACTGTCAGGGCTTTCAACTGATGATTGACATTTGTAATCCTATAGAGCTCGTCCTGTCTGTCATCGAGTCTAACAGGAGAAGTTGAGTCATGTGAGCACAGTGCGTTACCGTGGAAACAGGCTGCAGTTGGCAGTTTCCGTGATGGACCAGGTTCATCACAGCGCTGACGGCTCTCGGGGTGTCGAAGTCGTCTGCCAGGGCTTTCAGCACGCTGGATTTAGTATCAGCCAACCTGAGGGACAAGAACATCGAGCTGAAAGATCACTATAATAAGAAATGAGGAATCATTTCATAGTTAGAGGGAGGGTTACCGTGAGTACGGTCCCCCACCATAAGAAGATAAATAGACTTCCACTATGACATTTTTGGACCCTTTTTGTCCAAATGAGCCTCACTTTGGAGTGACTTTTAGGGACATTTCCTACAGGCTAGCGAGACATGCTGAAGCCAAACTTTAAAATGTCTTTCCAGAACAGCTAGAGGGAGGATTTGAGAACAAAAGCAATACTTTGAAACGTCTTTTAGGTCACTCCCCAGCAAAAATATCGGGACATAGGTGGCATCAATACATTTGATTGACCTTCTTGTTTAATATGAAGTCAGTCTAACTTTCACTGTAACTTAAGAAATGTGTCCGCTACAGCATTTTGATAACAGTAATGTCAATACTTGAGCAATGAGAAAAAAATGCCCCACTTTGTAGAGTCTTTTTGTGCACTTCCAGACTAGCTAGTTGGACAACTCTGATAGGAATGGATGCGTCAGAATGAAAGCCCCCTAACACAAAGAACTGAGAAAATAGTAATACTATAAACAACAATACAAGCAATAGGATGAACGAAGCACATTGAGATAACGTATTAAAGTGTGGAGTTGTTGCTACCTGTCCCAGAGAGCTGCTTCCTGTACAGGCGTGCATTGCAGCTGGCCCTTCATGTAGGCCTTAGCGTCCTGCATGAAGGTGGAGATGGTTCCCAGGGCGATGCGGGCCTCCACCATGCTGCTGTGGCTGTAGTCTATGGCTGTAGAAACAAGTCTGATTACTGCTGGAAACACCGGTTTCTATTCAATGGTTTAAAACAAACAGTAACACTTTATATTAAGGTAATAACACCAAACAGATCTGGTCTATTCTTATGTAACAAGACATGCGCTTATTGTGTCAAAATAACTTAAAATGAGGTATTTCTAACTCCGAATATGTTCACTAATAAGCTAGTAGTTTGGCTCTAACACAGTATGCATGTTCATTAACAACTAGTTGATGGTGAATAAGTGTACCTTTTGATCTAAAGTGTTACCAAACAAACATTTTACCCCACCTGATCTGTATTTGGACAGAAGACAGAACATCCTGAACTCGTTGGCAGAGTAGGACTGCAGGAAATCCTGATGGAATAAAAAGCAGGTGGTTCCATAAAGAGTTACTCAATAGCAGGTGATGAATCATTTGGAAGGACTTTACCTTGATGCTGACATAGTTCTTCAAAGACTTTGACATCTTCTCTTCACTGCCTTTCAGGTGTAAGTGTCCTGAAAACAAATAAATGGTGTCAGTGCTGAATTTGATAGCAATTATAGGCAACAATATTCAGAAGAAAAAAAGCTGCCTTTGCAAATGAGGAAAACAGTCTAACTTTAAAGAGTTCTATAAGTGGTGTTGAACCCAAAGAATGTCAGAGTTGCAGACCGGCTTTGTTTCTATCAAGTATAACATTTACAACATAGCAGAAGCTCCTGCGTCTAAATGAGATGTGATGTCCGTGTTTTGTGTGTATATAATGTTTGACGTACATACACAATTGATTGAATTCAGAAGAAGGAAGTAGTAGAGCAGTGTTACCTGAGTGGAGGAAGTAGTTTGCCCACTGTCCGCACTGATGGTAGGCTTCACTTTGAGCGATCTCGTTCTCATGGTGAGGAAAGGCCAGGTCGATCCCTCCGGAGTGGATATCCAGCTGGCTGCCAAACACTGAGCTGAACAGCATGCAGGTCACACATCACACATCTGCTGATATACATATATTGTAATGTTGAACCAGCATCCTTAAGAGAAACCCAAAGAGAGATAAGACTAGCAGATCCAAACCTGGCGATGGTGGAGCACTCGATGTGCCAGCCGGGTCTCCCTCTGCCCCACGGAGACTCCCAGAACGGCTCCTGAGGTTTGGACCTCTTCCAGAGAGCAAAATCCCTGGAGTCTCGTTTAGTTGTGCTGCCTGGAGAAACGTACAGTGTGTGATGCATTGGTAAAGCTGACATATCGTCTGCCAACAGAACAGTGTCAGTGTGTACGATCCTCAAAAGGTCAGTACTATTTGGCTTACTTACACTCTAAAGAACACAAACACAACTTGCCAGAAAGAACACCCTGCAGATTCTGCTGATACTCTGTAGATATGAAGCCCTCAATCTTAAGCTCAGGTCATTATATATATATATATATATATATATATATATATAATTATGTGACATACTTGTGAATAGTATATTCCATTTATTCGTATAGAACCCTCACAATTCTACACATTTACAATCAAGCGCTCTTCTCACTGTATATGCTTTTTCAGCCCCTAATGATTTTCTTCAGTTAATCAAAGTGTGTTTATACAGCCCAATATAAAGAATGTTACATTCGTCTTGGGAGGCTTTACAGTTTGTACAGAATACGACACCGTCTGACCCTCTCAGGAAAACTCAGGACAGACGGACGTGCAGTAGGTTTCGTGTGTAAATTAAAAAGATAATACATAAGATGAAGATGGAACCAGGTGGATGTCATAAGTAGAAATTAGTCAGTGACACAAAAGGTTCCTCTGCTGTGCCGAAATGACTGACAGCGCTGTAAGCAGACAGACACTCACCAGGTTCTCCCTGAGGATCCACTGCTCCTACAAACTTGCCATAACGACCCCCAATGGACTGGATGTCAAAATACACGTCACCTACAACCAAGGAATTTCACGAATGTTAACAATTAAAACAATTAAAAAGAAATAACAATAGCACCTAAAGCTCATAGACATGTTACCTTCTTTTGTGGCATAAGCATGTCCATTTCTAATGATCCCGTCGATAAACGCAACAATATGATGCACATTCTCAGTGACTCTTAAATACACCGCAGGAGGAATCACCTAAAACAATAAAGTTGATAGAAAAACACGTTACAGTGTATAACTCACAGCAAATCACTTTTTTTATCTGCGTACACCTCACTTAGAGAATGAAAACTGTGTGAATAAATGATAATAAGGACAATTCAGGACATGAATGCTCGATGACAACATCGTACATTTGGAAGACATATTTTCTATACTAAGAGCAGTTTTCACTTAATCTATAATCTATATGAAGTGACCCTTCAAGTCAGGCTTGAAGTATGTTATATATCACACGGGAATAAGAACATCAATTACCTGTGACCTTTACACACACCTTTAAAGAAAGCATATCCCTCTTGAATTCATCCTCATAGATTGAAGCCAACACGTTTGGAGAAACATTTTCCTGTAAACAAGGGAAAGATATATGTGAATAAAACAAAGGAAAAGGATTAGGGCCACATGATAAAACATTTTTGGGATGTGAAGTGTGAATACCTCCCAGCTTCTTTTGATGATTTTATCATCCACGTCGGTGATGACCATGGCATGGATCACAGTGATTCCAAACAACCTGGTTAGGATCCTCTGCAGGATATCAAACCTGACATATGAGCTGTGGAAAGACACCCACATATTGAGCTATGGTACATTTTACCATCCGTGCCTTTAAAATAATGATGTTATATCCTTACCATGCATGGCCCAGGTGTGCATGGTCGTATACGGTTGGTCCACAGCTATACCTGTAACACAACACATATTAAGTAAGGTAGTTCTACATGCTGTGTATACTCATCATTTACCCATGTTCCGTACCAAGTAGCTACTCCCTCTCTGGCCAGGATCAGAGGCTCTTTCTGCTTGGTCAGGCTGTTGAAAGCCTTTAAACCCGTGAGAGCCCCGCTGGGTCTCACCCATTCCCTGGCTGAAGCATTGCTGCAGGCTCCGTTGCATCTGACACTGACAGCTCTGGAGGCACAGAGGACCTTCGCTCTCCGGAACTCCGACCTTACCCAGAGCCTCAACATACTGCGACCTCGCTGTATGCAGCTACATGCGCACTGCTAGCCTAGCATAGCTTATAGACTCACACTATGACATGAACTTAGGGAGCAGAATGAAATGTAAGTTAATGCGACCTTTCTATAGACAGTCTACGGTAGCGACAGTGTCCAGACGTCACGCACTATTTCAAAGACTGTTTTTCATGTTCCGGTCCCGTTCATTCCTATGAGAGTTGCTCAGTGGTGAATGAAGCCAAAATGGTCTGGCGCTCTCGAAAGCAAAAGTACCGAATCTGGGCCCATAGAGCATGCGCACTCGAGTTTTCCTTAAGTCCCGCCTCCGATCTCCCACTCTCGGCTCAGTCAAATGAATGAAAAGGGAAAATGACTCTGGATTGAGCTTTTAGCGCATTTTACAACTTTTAGACCTTAATGATTTTATTAAGGTCTATAAAAGTCTTCGTACTGGATAGTTTATTTGGCAAAAAAAAAATGATACGCTGATTTACAGACGTCTCTTTCCCAATGTAAGTCAATTGGAACAAGTATTTCCGTCCACAATTACGTCAACTGTATTACCACCTATTGGCCACTACAGCTATTCCAGAAAATCGGGATTCGCTGTTTTCAGGTGCATTTGCTTCGTCTCCACATTTCTCGCGAGAGTCGGATACCGGAAGAGTTCGGACGTGTCATGTGATATGCTCTTTCTGGTGTTTGAGTAGCTATGTCAACATAATTCAATTTTTTAAAAGACTGGGTTTGAAGAGCGTCACGTTTTATCCAAAAGGACCTTTACAAGATGCAGAACGTTATAAACACGGTGAAGGGGACGGCTCTGGGTGTGGCTGAGTTTCTCACTCCAGTGTTGAAGGTAAGCTACATGAGCTAACGTTAGCTTGTTTATAGGTGGGGGCTTCTGTCAGATGTACATGCATGCACACATTTTGAAAGCTATCTAACGGTCACATTCATTGTTGTTATTGTCATTTTAGGCTTTCCATGGATACAAGCTAATTACCCTCTTGTAAATGTACAGCTTAAAGCCTGCATATCCCTGTACTGTTTTGGTTCTGTTATCTTTATATTGTTCTCTATAATCGTTTCATTATTTTGTTTATGTTATTCTATTAATCCCAGGAATCGAAATTCAAAGAGACTGGAGTCATTACACCAGAAGAGGTGAGAACTAACTACTGTAGTAGGGGATTATGTACGTGTACTTCAGTAAGAAATGGAAGTACTTCTTCTTTACTTAGTATTTTCACTAGATTTCTTAGGTAAATGTTGTGCTTTTGACTTCATTTTACGTATATTAATACTAATACATTAGTATATAGGATTATAGGTTGAGCTACTAAGTAGTGCATACAGTTATTTAAATAAATCCAACTTTTACCAAGTTCAACATTGAAGTGATGAACACAATAAATGATAGTACAATCATTTGAAGTATATGATACTTAAATGTGCCTTTCTGCACAATTAAGGCTTTTGGTACTTAAAGTATATCTTGATACTCTTTAGCCTTTTCTCATTTGAATGTACTTTTAATTGTATCTTGTATTTTGACACTGTAGGATTGCTACTTGTTAGTGTAGTATTTATTTACATTTCTTTAAATATCTTCTCAAAATCCTGCAGCTTGTTATCTAAATATACTTTTTATTTTTATTTTAGTTTGTAGCAGCGGGAGATCATTTGGTTCACCATTGCCCCACATGGAAATGGTGAGTGTCCACTTAGAGGTGAATCACAGATATGAGTTTCTGATGGTAAGATCCCCTTACATGTGAAATATGATTATTAGCTCTTGAAAGCTGAGATCAAATATAAACTTTGAAATACACCACTGCAGCACTACTCAATGAATATATGTCATTATTTTGTCACGTTTACCTTCACCCTATGCAGTACCACGGAGGTGAGCTCATACACTGGAGTGGAGCTGGGTACTGTTGGTAGTAACTTTAGTAATGTGGTGGTTGCTGGTAGTAATGTGAGTGCACATCGTTGTCCAACTCATTTCAGTTATAGTCCCATGTTTGTATGGGATTGCCTAACCCCTGCCACTCATTTCTATATCATTTTTTAATGCAAAACCTTAAGTCCACCAACACTAAGTAAAATAATTATTAGATTTCAGCTCATTCAATTCCTCTTTGCTCAACAAACCTGCAACTGTGGACCTTAAATTGTTAAAGTAATAAGTGTATATGTCTTGGTTTCCATCTTCCTTTAGGGCTAGTGGGGAAGAAGTCAAGGTAAAGCCATATTTGCCGCAGGATAAACAGTTTCTCCTGACACGCAATGGTAGGTGGATTTGAAATACAATTCCATTATTGTAAAGGTTCCTTTGTTACTTAACTTCCAGCGTTACTTCCTCTGGTGTGTGTTAACTGTGTGCTGACGATGTGTTTGATGTCTTTCAGTTCCTTGTTACAAGCGTTGTAAACAGATGGAGTATTCAGATGAGCTGGAAATGATCATTGAAGAGGATGATGGAGACGGGGGCTGGGTGGACACGTACCACAACTCAGGTTGGTCACCATCAACACCCATACATTGCATATATCCAGAGCATTTCATCGATGCTATAAAACTGTGACCTGACATAACACAACCAGACAAACTTGGAATTCCAATAATAAATAATGAAATAATGATGAAGAACATGACTCTGCTTTGTTTTGGCAGGCGTGTTAGGAGTCACAGATGCTGTACGAGACATTTCCCTGGACAATAATAAGGTATGCTTTAACATGTCTGTGGTTTTGTTTTTTCTGATTGAACTCAATGCGGAATCCATGAAAGCCAAGTATATTAGTATACCTAGAGCTGGTGTTACAATGGTAGGCAGTATCTCCTCACAGCAAGAGGGTTCTGCGTTTGAATCCACTCAAACAGAGCAGTTTCTATGGATACGATAAGGCAGGTCTTAGATAGGACCATAAAACAATCTTTTCTTCAGACAATAACAGGACAGTTTGACCCTGCCAGGGACAGGACTGCAGTGTATTACAGTATGATGTTGATTATGCTCTTATATGAGGAGTGTTTATTATGAAGGACAGGGGAAGAGTGGGTTGGGGCAGAGGACATTAAAGTCACGATGAGCCACTAAATACTAATATGAGGTAAGATAAGATGTACTTAAAGTAAATTATGTATAAATAAGTAAAATATATTCTTCCACCTTATCAATTTGAATTCCTCTAGGACAACAATATGAATGCCAAGTCTGCAGCATGTGGTGATGATGAAGATGATGAAGAAGAGGGAGAAGCAGCCGATATGGAAGGTACTTAAATCCTACCGGTAATGAAGCATTTTGATTTGGTTTTTCAGACAGTCTCACATTGTTCCTATTGCTTCTTTTCAGAGTACGAGGAGAGCGGCCTGTTGGAGACGGATGAGGTAGACGTCTCGAGGGGTCGCAGCTTGACTTTTATTCCCCCCAGTTCAACCCGCCCCTCACGCTTCTCTCCTCTGTGTAGGCCACCTTGGACACCAGTAAAATGGTTGAAGCCAAAGCAGAGCCGGGGAGTGAAGACGCCATCCTTCAGACGAGAACATACGACCTGTACATCACATACGATAAATACTACCAGACCCCTCGACTCTGGCTCTTTGGATATGATGAAGTATGGGAGCCCCTTTGTTATAAAGCAACATGAAACGCACCTTTAGAGAATCTCAGCTTTCATTCAGTTGCCGGTTTATTTGTGGCTGCCATCTAGTTTTAGAAGAGATACAGAATACACAATGTTAGAAATGTATAGTACGGGTCCCAAGCATAAACTGCTGGATGCTACCTTGCATATGTTGGGCAATTTGCACAATTAGCACAAGTTGCATAAATTAGCATATGCATACAATAGCTAAAAAAGGCTTGGACAATTTGGGTGTGGTTTGAGGTATATTGAGGAATCCATTTCTAAAAAATGTAGGGTAGAAAATTGCAGTTTTGAGTCCCTTAAACATTTAAAATCCACTGCTAATTAATTAAAATCCGCCCACAGAGTACAAATACGTCCAATTTCTGGTTAAAACTGCAATTTTCTATCCTTAAAATCTCCGAAATGTATTCAGCATCCTCAAGAACTCCGAAAAATAAAGCTGCGGTTAGCGTTGTTTCCACATACACTTTTAACTTTCTGCTCATCAAGATGTTTTGTCCCCCAGGATAGACAACCTCTGTCTGTAGAACAGATGTACGAGGACATAAGCCAGGACCACGTGAAGAAGACGGTCACCATTGAGAACCACCCCAACCTTCCCCCCCCTGCCATGTGCTCAGTCCACCCCTGCAGGTGAGTAACACACCCCCCTCTCTTTCTTTAGATGCACACATTGCACCACCCTCCCTATTTGTATCTGTCTCGTTGAGATAATGGTTCACATAGCGTTACATATGAACCCATGCTTTACTCTATAGTGATGATAGTATGACTACAAATGTGAATGTTTCTCACAGACATGCTGAAGTGATGAAGAAGATCATCGAGACAGTGGCAGAAGGAGGAGGAGAGCTGGGAGTGCATATGTATCCTTTCATGGTGATAACATGACTTTTTCTTATGCAACCATTTTGATTGACTGTTATTGTGTTACTTTGGACAAGTGGGGGGAATTTACTAGTTGTGTGGAGTGTTACTGTCATTGCGAAGTTGATTCTCAGGAACTGAAAACAGCCAATGCGACTTTAATGTAGTTTATTTAAATTTCTGCCGGTTTAATTTAGAATAAAAAGAATCATAAAGTGGTGTTAATATGTGGATATTATCCCGCTGAAGAAAACTTGTAAGTATCATAAACGTGTGTTTGCCACAGATCTTTTTTCATACAATATTTCAGAATCCAATAGACGAATCCCCTTGCGAGGCTAACTTCCGTGTTGGCTTACAGAAATGATAACCAATATGCTCTTAGCACCAACATACCACCATGTGTCACTGTGTGTGCCTTTGTGTTTTCCTTAACCGCAGCGTTCAGGTATCTGCTCATTTTTCTCAAGTTTGTCCAGGCTGTCATTCCCACAATAGAATACGACTACACAAGACACTTCACCATGTAGCTTCATAAGTGTGCTTCTGCTAATGCGTCATTGGAAAGACGGGCTCTTCAGCCTATATGTCCAGAGGATATCTGGTTTTTGGAGTGTTTAAGAACGTTGGAGGTGTGTGACAAAGCTGTGTGTTAAAGGAACAATCAGAACATATGGGTTTGTCTGTGTGGATACATGTGTGCTGTCTAACTGATACTCTATGGCAG